TTTATTTAAATATTTTAAATTTTAAAAAAAGTAAATCATAAACAAATTTATAGCAATTTTCCAGGCAAATTTGCCTAAAATTGTCTACAGTTTAAGGGATAATGTATTTGCTTATATGGATAACACAGATAGAGTGCTTGGCTTTATTAAAAATCTGTGAGACAGAAAATGCTATGGGCATTAAAAAGAACAAATGTAATCTACTGATATGGGTAGTGCTGATGAAGCATTTAATCTCAGATTTTATGATCAGATATTGTAATTATAAAGGAATTGAAGTTGTGAAGGATGAATATACTATAATGTGTTTTAATCTACTGAGATATTGTTGTCAAAGGGACTTGTGTAATATTTTAAGACAGGATTAGGTGAGGTTGGTATATCCTATTTGAGCTGTATTTGTATTTACTCGATTAGAAGCTTTAAAAAACATACAAGAATAGCTAATAGGCTCAAATCTCTAATACGTATATAAATAGGATAATAAATAAACAGAAAACTATCCAGATCAGAAGGAAGAAAAGTGTTTTACAAGAATAGCTTGCTGACTTTAGAATGAACTTGAATTAGATAGTGGAAAAGCAATAGTAAATGCATTTTGCAAGACTACTTCATTGACTTCTTTAAATCAGAAATTTTTTTTTTTATCGTAATCAGCTACTAAATACTTTTTATAAAACACAACTAATTTTTTTTTTACTAAATATATTAGGATAGTGCTCAATATTTGGTATTTGCTATATTCAGATTTTAATGAAAAACACTATTCTTAATGAATCCTAGTTCTAACAAACTTAAATTGGAAGTTGAAAAAGCATTAGCAGATACATTTTGCAAAAACACCATATTGAAAATTTTCAGCAATAATAGATATGCTGAGAAAAATCATTAGAAAATATGCTTTGCAAGAACTCCATACTGACTACTTTGTAGAATGAACTTAGATTATAAGGAAAAAAAGAATTCCATGCTGTGATTTACTATTGCACAATATATCATTGAATCTCTTCTTTATTTAGTTATAATGCTTCTAATTTTTATATTGCCGGGTCCCAAATTATAGTTTTTATTTTTACTATGTATTTCTGGGTTATTATCTTCTAAAAG